ACCGCCACCCTCGTGCACGCGTGCGGGTGCGCGGGGCGCGCGGCGTGACCACGGCAAGGCGGGGTCGCACAAAAACATGCTATTGCATAAGCCTACGGGTCCTCCCCGGTCTGCGGGCCCCTCCCCTGGCCTGCGGGCCCCTCCCTGGCCTGCGGGCCCCTCCCCGGCCTGCGGGCCCCTCCCCGGCCTGCGGGCCCCTCCCCGGCCTGCGGGCCCCTCCCCGGCCTGCGGGCCCCTCCCCGGCCTGCGGGCCCCTCCCCGGCCTGCGGGCCCCTCCCTCCCTCCCCCTCGTCGTCCTTCTCCGCCTCTTCGTCCTCCTCCTCCGCCCGGCCCTCCCTCTTCTCCGTCTTCTTCCTCTCCGTACTCCAGCCTGCTGCTCTCCAGGGCCAGGTCCTGCGGGACAACGCCCCCGCCCCGGAGCCGCGGGGATATAGGCCCTGCGGGGTGTTTCCACCCGGCCCGGGATGGACGCTACCCTGCGGGGTATAACCACCTACCGAATGCTCAACCGAATGCTCCTCCTCCTCCTCCTCCTCCTCCTCCTCCTCCTCCTCCTCCTCCTCCTCTCCTATACCTCCTGCTCCTCCTCTCCTACCTTCCTTCTCCTCCTGCTTCTCCTCCTCCTCCTCCTTCTCCTTCTCCTCCTCCTCCTCTGCCTCCTCCTCCTCGTCCACGTCGTCGTCCTCCTCCTCCTCATCCTCCTCCTCCTATTCCTCCTCCTCCTCATCGTCCTCGTCCTCAGTCCTCGTCGTCCTCTTCCTCCTCCTCCTCCTCCTCCCTCCTCCTCCTCCTCCTCCTCTGCTCCTCCTCCTCCTCCTCCTGCCTCCTGCCTCCTCCTCCTCCTCCTCCTCCTCCTCCTCTCATCCTCCCGCCTCCTCCTCCTCCTCCTCCTCCTCCTCCTCCTCCTCTCCTGTACCTCCTCCTCCTCCTCCTCCCTCTCATACCTTCCTTCTCCTCCTGCTTCTCCTCCTCCTCCTCCTCCTCCTCCGTCTCCTTTCCTCCTCCTCTCCTCCTCCTCCTCCTCCTCGTCACACGTCGTCGTCCTCCTCCTCCTCTCCTCCTCCGCCTCCTCGTCCTCGTCCTCGTCGTCCTCCTCCTCCTCCTCCTCCTCCTCCTTCTCCTCCTCTCCCTATTCCTGTTCCTGTCTCCTCCTCCTCCTCCTCCTCCTCCTCCTCCTCCTCCTCCTCCTCCCTGCCAGCAAGTCTGGACAAGAGCAGCAATCCAAAAATCCCCACCAGGGAAACCTTGGCTCCGCTGGGAAGCCATAACCCCCCACCCCCCAGGTGCGGATGGTCGCCGTCTCCCTCGGGCTCCGGGGCACCCATATCCCATATCCCCGCCTGGAGGGGGCACCCTGGAAGAGCCAACTTACCCTGCCCAGGTGGGCTCCTCCTCCTCCTCCTCCTCATCATCATCATCATCCTCCTGCTCCTTTTCTTCCGCTTCCTCATCCTCATCTTCTTCTTCCCCCTCCTCCTCCTCGAGGAGCCAACTTGCCCTGCCCAGGTGGGGGTGGGGATGGTTCTGACGGGGATGAACATCTGCAGGTGGCCTTCGGGGGCACCCATCCCCACCTGGAGGGGGTACCATGGAAGAGCCAAGCTGCACTGCCCAGGTGGGGGGTGGGGACGGCTCTTCGTGTGATGGACACAGCTGTAGGTGGCCTTCGTGGGGTGTGGGGGGGGTGGCCTCGTCACCACGGCTGGACGCATCTCGGAAAGCCGGTGCGTTTGGACCCCGGGAGGGACCCGGGGACCGACTCTGATCTGCCGTTGTCTCAACTCGCCCTGCGAGGACGAGGAAATCAGCGGGCTCATACAGCGTCAGACGTTGCTGAGCCTGTGGGAAGCAAGATCGGGAGTGGGTGAGGGGGGAGAAGGGAGAAGAGTGTGGAGGAGGGGGGCCAACGATTAGACAGCGCAATGCGGAGGCACACGAGCAAGAGAAATGACGGCGAAGGCCGCCATCCGAACCAGAACTCCTGGGAAGGGGGATGTGGACGGGGATATGGGGAGGACTTGGGAAAAGGTGAAGGGAGAAGTGACGAGGAGGGAGCAATGAGGAGGATAGGAGACCCAGATTTTCCATGGCGGGCAGCCTAGCGTGGCCCATCGTCGAAAACTAGCAGAGGCGTCACAGCTTAGCTGCTGTGGCAGAGAAGGAGGACGACCACAAGGGGTAGGAGGCGGAAGAGGGGAAGGGGGGTAGAAGAAGAGGGATGAATGGAGGAGGGGGAAACAAGGAAGAAAGAAAGGAGAGACGGAGAAGGAGGAGGAGGAGGAGGAGAGCACTGTGTTGCAATGGGAGCTAGTTTACACCGTGCATTCCAGCTTCCAAGCATTACAACTGTGGACTATTCATTAAAGCATGTCCGAAGCGGGGAGATTCAGCACTGCGCCCGCTTTGATAAGCACCCTCACAAGGTGGAGGCTGAAGAGGAGCAGGACACATCGTGGTGAGCTGACGATGATGAGGAGGATGACTAGGGCGGGCAGAAGAGCGAGAAGGAAGGAGGTGGGGGGAGGGGAGAATGGAGGGAGGAGGACAATAATGATGGGGAGGACGAGGAGGAAAAGGGAGTGCAAGGAGGGAGACTAGCAAGGAAGGAGGTGGACAAGGATGTCGAGGATGAGGAGGGTGAGGAGCATGAGGAGGATGAAGAGAACGAGGAGGATAAGTAGGCTGATGTAGCAGGAGGAGGGGGAAGCAGGCGGCCTATGCGCAGCCCAACGGAGAAGCCGCCTCCAGGTGGCTCGTGCGTGCGTGCGGACCCTTGGCCCGGCCGGCCGCGCGGAGGGCGACCCTTGTTATCATGCCCTAAGACCAGATCGGACACAGCATTGAGCCATGCTCCCCCTGATCAGCCACAAGCCCGGGGAACAAGCAGTGGCATGAGCATAAAAGACCCGGAGGTCCGCGAGGATTCCTCGGATCTCCGCCGGACACCCTTCCCTGGCGCGCGGGGCGCGCCAGGGGCGGCACCGGAGGCGCTGCCAGGGGGCTCCAGCGCCGATCCAAGAAATCGGCGCAGACCTCCAGGCTTGCATGCTTATGCCATTGTTTGTTCCCCTCGCCCAGGCACCAACTCAGCGCTGGCCAGCGGAGGCCTGCGACGTGGTGCCCTGCGCCGCATCATCCCCGCCGGTATGGGCCGTGGGCTCGGCGAGCTCGCACTTGTCGATGGCCAGGAGCGCCAGGATGATGAGGCCGGCGTCCGTGCGAGCCTGCATGTGGACCTGGTGCTGCACGGTTTCCCCCGGGGGGCCGTAGGCGACCCGAGGAGGAGGAGGAGGAGGAGGAGGAGGAGGAGCATGAGGAGGAAGAGGAGGAGGTGCAGGAGGAGGAGATGGAGGAGGAGGAGGAGGAAGAGGAGGAGGAGGAGGTGGAGGAGGAGGAGGAGATGGAGGAGGAGGAGGGAGGGGGAGGAGGGAGGAGGGAGGAAGGAGTAGGAGTAAGAGTAAGAGTAGGAGTAGGAGTAGGAGTAGGAGTAGGAGTAGTAGGAGTAGTAGCAGTAGTAGTAGTAGTAGTAGTAGTAGTAGTAGTAGTAGTAGTAGTAGTAGTAGTAGTAGTAGTAGTAGTAGTAGTAGTAGTAGTAGTAGTAGTAGTAGTAGTAGTAGTAGTAGTAGTAGTAGTAGTAGTAGTAGTCGTAGTAGTAGTAGTAGTAGTAGTAGTAGTAGTAGTAGTCGTAGTAGTAGTAGTAGTAGTAGTAGTAGGAGGAGGAGGAGGAGGAGAAGGAAGAGGAGGAGGAGGAGAAGGAGGAGTAGGAGGAGTAGGAGGAGGAGGAGGACGGGTCGCCTAAGCCCTTCGGAGAACCCCCCCACCTGGTACTCGTCGGGCGACGTCTGCATCGTGGTGGCGATGGTGTGGCCACTCGTGTCCTGGACCTGGATGTTGTGGGTCTTGTAGTCCCCCGAGAAGATCAGCATGGTGTTCTGGCTGCGGAGCACCATGTACTCGCCGCCGTCGCTCTTCTGCACGTGGCCGTACGGCAGGCCCCAGGGCCTCGAGATCGCCAGCGAGGGGTTCGGGGCGCCGCGCCAGAGCTCCTCCGTGCTCAGCTCGGCGAGCTGCTCGCGGCCACCCAGCGTCTCCACGAAGATCTTGCTCGGCTCCGGGCCCAGCTCGGCCACGCGCATGCGGAAGAGCGGGGCACCTCCACGGGCAGGAACCGCGCTGATCGGGCGTTGCCAGGAACGGCCCCTGCCCAAGGTGTCCCCCACTTCTCGCGCCAATCTGGAGCCCTCGGGGGCCCACTCTATGGGCCACGTGAGGGTCGCTCTGGAGGCCATCTAGGCATCATCGTCATCATCATCAGCAGCAGCATCATCAGCAGCAGCATCAGCATCAGCATCATCATCATCACCATCATCCATCATCCATCATCCATCATCCTCATCCTCATCATCATCCTCATCCTCAACCTCATCCTCATCCTCCTCATCCTCCTCATCATCATCATCATTACCATCATCATCATCACCACCACCACCACCACCATCATCATCATCATCATCATCATCATCATCATCATCAACATCATCATCATCATCAACATCATCAGTATCATCATCATCATCAGCATCATCATCATCATCGTCATCATCATCATCGTCATCGTCATCGTCATCGTCATCATCATCATCATCATCATCATCATCATCATCATCATCATCATCATCATCATTCTTCTCCTCGTGAAAGTACCCGTGGTCCATCTGGGCCACGGGATGTCTGGGGACAACTCGGGCCAGGGGCACCCTTGGCAACACCCAAGCTGACGTCGAAGGTCAGGTCCTGCTTCTTGCGCCGCACCTCGTTCTGCACGAAGCAGGCGAGCCGGGTGCCATCTGGCACCACCAGCAAGTGGCACAGCGGCAGTCCTTGGAAAAACTCACACAAATACCGACACCCATCAGTCGGAAGAAGTGGACAGCAAGACTGCGACGATACATATATATACATATAATGTGTGTGTGTCTCTGTGTGTGTATTCGAGGTCCGCCCGCCCCCTGAAGAGACGTCAAGAAGGCACCCCGCTCGACACTTAAAACAGGAAGGCCTCTAGAGGTGATCCGAATCTTGGAATCCAAACATACGACCGCTGTGTACCACTGCTCCCCAGACCTCTCCTGGGGCGTGTTCCGACCAGCATTTCGATGCGGATCCCGCCGTGGCGGCGAGGGCATGGGAGCGGTATCGGTATCTTTCCCAGACATGTGACGTCCTGATTTTTTCCGTACGGCGTGCCCGGAAGTCCCGGCCCGTTCCCCAGGGCCGGCTTTTCATCCCGAGTCGATGTTGACGCTCCAGGGGGCCGGCGAGGGCCCAGGGGTCGAAAATAGCGAAAAGCTTGGCTTCCTCATCTTTTTTTACGGCGCGATCATGTCTGGGTTTCCTCCTCTTCAGTCCAGGCAGGCCCGCGCTGGTGCGAGAGCGGGTCTGCAGTGTCGAGGACGACATGCAGCTCTCGTCCTCGGTGAAGGCGTCCTGGCCCGAGTAGGCCTCGCTGCCGCTCCTGGACAAGAAGAAGACTGACGGCTCGAACACACAAAGCTTGGGCCGCGCGGCTTCTCCTGCTGTTTCCCCTCCTCCTCCTCCACCTCAATTCCTTTTGCATGCAAATATCATCTCCCTGTCGCACCCCGAAGCCAGTTTTTTGATCGGGCTGGGCGTTTCGCTGGAGACGTCTTATAGCTAATGACTCTGAAGCTTAAACAATGGCAGCAGCTTCACAAATGGAGGGCGGGCCGTTTTCAAAATGTGGCTCTCGCCTTACATTTGCAAGAGCTTCACGGATTGAGGGCGGGTGGTTTTCAAAATGTGGCTCTCGCCTTGGCGCCGCGCACATTCGTTTCCAACATTTGCAAGAGTTTCACATATTGAAGGCGGGTGGTTTTCAACATGTGGTTCTCGCCTTAGCGCCGCGCGCAGTCGTTTTAAAAACTTACAAGAGCTTCACGGATTGAGGGCGAATGGTTTTCAAAATGTGGCTCTCGCCTTAGCGCCGCGCACATTCACCTTAAACCTTTGCGGTTGCAAGAATTTCACGGATTGAGAACGATTGTTTCAAAATGTGGTTTTCGCCTTAGCGCCGCGAACATTCGTTTTAACATTTGCAAGAGTTGCACGGGTTCCCATGATCAGCGTACCAAAAATGGTGTTGGTCGGGTTGGCAACTATGCGGGCGCAACAGTTATGTTGATTCGCGGTGTTGACATCCCAAATATGGCGTGTTGGCACGGTTCTAAATACTCAAGACGCAGCCGTCAGGTTCATCCGTGGCGTGGTAGTCTCGAGATCCATGTTTTGGCATGCTTCAAGGTCTTCAAACGGCCAACTATGCAGTTCCCTCAATGGGTATGAACAATTGCAGTGGCCTATGAAGAGGGAGCTTTGGGGGAGGGTTTATTCCAACATCGTTGGTGAATCTTGGGTTTACTCTGGTCCTCCTCCTCCTCCTCCTCCTCCATCTCCCTCCTCCTCCTACTCCTCATCCTCCTCCCTCCTCCTCCGCCGCCTCCTCCTCCTCCATCTCCTCTTCCTCCTCCTCATCCCCCTTCTCCTCCTCCTCCTCCTCCTCCTCCTCCTCCTCCTCCTCCTCCTTCCGTAGCCATTTTGGCTCAAGGCCACTGCTTCGGCGGGCTGAGCCCGCATTTGCAAAACAGGAAACCGCTAGACCGCGGCAGCTTTCATCCTTCACGGCGGTCCCTCGTTCCCCAATGCGCGATCAGGGGCTCCACAGGGAGTGCGTATCTGGTGCGAGGGGTTCGCTAGCCTCCAATCTCTCGTTCGCGAAGACATGGTCAAGCAGAAAAGCTACGTCAAGTGTGTATCGTGTGGGTACAAGTGGACGCGGAAGGGTCGTGAGAAGTGTTTCGGCTGCGGCAAGCCGATGGAGATCGGGGGCCTTCCACCGTGGCGAGATGCGGCGCCAACACAAGGCACCTGGGAGAAACGGATCCAGTCGGCATTGAAGATGAACAACATGACGGCTGGAAGGAGTGGAGAGACTGGCCCGAGTCGCGCCGCGGGCGCAAGAAGGGTGTGAAGGACGACGCGGGCAAAGAGGTGGCCCAGACCCCCGACCAACTCCTCCTGGCTCTGCAGGCGGCTGCGCCACACATCGGCCCGTCCGAGCGTGACCCCAACAAGGAGTGCCAACACCAGCGCGCGCTGGAACGGAAAGCCAGGCTCGCCCTGGACAAAGCCGTGGGGTCCGAGGCCAAGGCGCACGACTGGTACCTGGAGCGGGAAGAGGCGGCCCGTCATGCCGCTGAGGAAGCAGTTCGGGCGCAGGAGCGAGCTGAACAGGCGCTGCTGGCCTTGCAGCGCGCACGATGGCAAGCGCGGCCTGCGGAGGCGGCAGCCGGGAAGCCGTCGAAGCCAGGCGTGGCTCTCAACCTCACCATCCTCCTCGAGAGCGAGCAGGTTCACTCCGAGGCAGTTGCAGCGTTCGGGCTGGGGGGGGGGCTCGAGGTGGACGAGGCCGACAAAGAGGCGTTCCAGGCGCTGCAGACGAGGCTCGCGAAGGAGCTCTGGCAGAAGATCAACGAGCTCTTCGGCGAGACGGCCAGCAACCTGGGCCAGTGCCGAAAGGGGGCGGCAGAGATGCGCGAGGTCTCAAGGCCAGGAGGCAGCGGCGCGAGGAGGCTTCTGCCGGGGCCGCCGCGGAGCGAAGGCCGAGGGCGGAGGGGCAGCGGCAGGTGCTCGGGCGCCCGCCCCAGCGCCCGCGGCGGCGCCAGCTGGGGCATCTCTTCCTCGGCGGGCGGTGCGTCTGCTGCTCGGGCCGCCGACAATCCTCCCGTGCCTGGTGATCATGATCATGACGAGTTGAGGGATGAAAAAACGACCCTACCCTGGATTACAAGTGCGTGGTTTGTAAACCTCCTGGGAACCCCCAAGGCCCAGAGCCGCCAGGACGCGGCACCTCACGCAGGGTTTACCCCGTCAGCCCACAGGAGGTTCAGAGCACGGCGCCTCGCAAACCAGGGTCGGGGCGTGTTTTCTGCCCCTGAACGAGGGACCTCAGTTCTTAGGAGGCAACTGCTGGGAGGTTTTCGTCGGAAAGATTAAGGAGGATTAAGCCCCATTTGGGAGCTGTTACGCCGAAATGGGCCTCGGATTAAGCGGGATTAAGCTGGATTAAACGGGATTAAGCGGGATTAAGCGGGATTTCGCTGGATTAAACCGAATTTCGGACCAGGGCGAAAACAGTTCCAAGATAAGGTCCAGAGGCTGCGTTCCGCGGCCAGGGGGGCGCCGCCGGGACTTGGACGCGGAGGGGGCCGTGGCGGCGGCGCGCCCCCGCGCTTCGATGTCCATGGTCATCGGGCTCAGCGCTCACCGCGGGGGCAAAGCGAGCGGCTTCGGGCCCCGCGCTCACCCTCGCGGCAGAGCTAGCCGCATCGTCGGGCTCGGCACTCGCCCTCGGGGCGGGGCGAGCGGCTTCGGGCCCCGCGCTCACCTCCAGGGCAGAGCGAGCGGCAAGGACAGGCAGTTCGGCGACTACCAGCAGCGGGGCCCACCATCGGAAGCAAGAGGCCGCGGGCGCGCGGGTGGCCGAGACCCTCCTTCCCGATGAGCGCGTTTCCAGGGCCGCTGACGAGCGGGGCCCTCTGGGAGACAGCGAAGGCCCTGCTGCACATGCTGCTCGTGTACATGGCGAGGAGGCAACCCCCAATGCGGCGAAGCAGAGAGCCGCTGACCAGCTCAAGAGTTGGGCTGGCCAATGGATCACGCAGCTCGATGACAGCGAGCACGGCGGGCGCAAATGGAGGCGATGGTGCGTGCCCTACGCGATGGGGATCACGCGCTGCAGCATGCGGGAGGCCGGAGAGTTCTGCTTGGAAGCATGGCGCCGAGGGAGCCCGACGAGACGAGCGACCCTGCTGCACCTGGCTTCCTTGGCAGAACGGCCAGACCTCTCGTCTTGGATGAGCGCCGTCTCGGCAATTTGGGACGAAGAGCGCCGAATTCTCGAGGCACCCCAAGCTACCCTTCAAGACCGTGCACCGCCAGATGAGCGCTCCGAGTACTACTATGACGACGATGACGGTACCGAGGCGCGAACGGCATGGGCCCAAGCGTCTGCGGCACTTCCAACTTCGTCGTGGTCTGCTTCAGCGGCGACAGCGACATTCTCATCCCCACCGGCGCCCGATGCAGTTTCGAAAAAAAACATAACGTCAAGACCTTCTCCACGAATCACTACGGAGAGCAGTCAGGAAGATTCACGCGTAAGTCCGCGTGAGAGCAGCAGTAGTAGGCAGAAAGCTTCACACGTAACTCCGCATGAGAGCAACAGAGAGGCCCACCATCGGACGCAGGAGGCCGCGGACGCGCGGGTGGCCGATGTCCTCCTTCCCGATGAGCGCGTCTCCAGGGCCGCTGACGAGCGGGGCCCACAGGGAAACTGCGAAGGCCTAGCTGCAGATGGGCAGGACCCTGTCGACGTTCTCGATGGGTCTCGATAGCGAGCAAGCAGGTGATGCGCGACAGCTTCCAGAAGATGGCGGTGAGCAGGTGGCCGTGCCGCAGATGGAGGGTGTGACGGGTCGAGAGCAGGTGGCCTCCCCGAAGCGGCATCAGCCTGAGCCTACAGCTGAGTCGCAGCGAGTGCAGGTGGCCTCCTCGACGAGGATGTACGTTCCAGAGCTAGCCGCACACGCGGCTCAGCATGAGAGCAGCAGAGAAGCCCACCATCGGATGCAGGAGGCCGCGGACGCGCGGGTGGCCGATGCCCTCCCCCCCGGTGAGCACGTCTCCAGGGCCGCCGACGAGCGGGCCCCACTGGGAGGCTGCGAAGGCCCAGCTGCAGATGAGCACGATCCGTTCGACGATCAAGACGAGTATCTCGACAGCGCGCAAGCAGGGGGTGCGCAACAACCTCCAGAAGAGGGCGATGAGCAGATGGCTGCGCCACGCATGGATGGAGTAACGGAGCGAGCGCAGTGCAAATGACCTCCCCGAAGCACCATCAGCCTGGGCAGGTGGCCTCCTGGACGAGCGTGGATGTTCCAGAGCTGTTGGCGGACCTTCCCCGAGGTAGTCGGCAGCGCGTCTCAGCGCTGTATGGCAATATCACGGAGTGGGGCACCAAGATCCACACGTTCGTGGCGAGCCAGAAAGGGTGCAACCTGCGCATGTTCGTTGAGACGCACCTCGGCGAGGAGAGGGCCGCAGTTGGTGCAGCCGTCGGCGAGGAAGGACGGATGGAAAATGATCGCCACGCCTGCGAAGGCGAGCGGACGGTCTGAAGCAGGCAGATCGGCAGGAGAGGCCATACTTGCACGGACCCATGTTGCCACCTCATCGTTTGAGTACCTCGCCAAGTACCGATCGAGCTGCGCGGCGAGCCCCTTCCACGGTTTATCGGCCCTCGCGCGACACCTGAAGGGCGGCAACGCGGCGACGAGATGCACCTACCTCGCCCACAAGTTCGGACCCACGAAGGGGCCCAATGTTAAGACGCTGAGGGCGCTTGTGCCCTTCGTGAGGAGCTTGGCGGACCCGTAT